GATTTGTCGCTCCTCCGGCCACGCATGTCTCCGAGAGGCGATCAGAAGGTATAAGCAAGTTAGCATTGTAACCGATGCCAAGCTACCGTGAAATTATGGACGGCGACGTTTGCGCAACGTCCCAAGATTACGCGTTGCGTAGTACGCTCATCCGTTGATCACCGTCTCCCGCTACGGTGAAACTTTGAAACAAAGGTGAACACAATATCATATGAGAGTCTCCATTAAAGTTGCAAAAACTCTATTGCAAAAAACGTAGTTATATACTATTATAATTACGAGTGCTTATTGTAGTTTGCATATGTTTTATTCATTTGCATATTAATTGAAATATTGTTTTTGTATAAATTAGAGTTCAATTATTTATTAACACTTTAACGATACTATCATGGTGTAGCTGTCCCTTTTAATTTTTTTTCTTATAAATTACTTATTAAACTCCTTTTTCTAATGCTTTATTCAAAGCATAAACTGTATTTATGTAAAACAAGAACGTTGAAATTCAGATTTTCCATTGTAATTCAAACTTAATTTTCTGTAGAAACAATTGGATCCTTGCCATATAACGTAACATTTCTTAAGCAACTGTCCTTTTGATGCTAGAATAGAAGTAAGTTATAGTTTTCTAAGTGTCGTAGCTGTTACACGAGTTCTAGCTTAACTCCTGTTAATAGGTCCTCTGTAAAAATAACTCTACAGCGGTTTGTGTTTTGTTTTCCTTTTTTTTTTATAATTTCTCCATGTTTATTTGTCTCCAGCTACTATATCGATTCATACCTAGTGATCCTTCATTTGTTTAGTGGCTTATAATTTCATATTAAACTGTGTTAAGGAAAGAAGGAAGGACATATGTTGCCCGTGATTCTATCCGGTGTATTTCACAATGTTTATATTAACTAAAATTATAATAATAAATTAGCATACTTTAAGTTATTTACTGCATTTATTATTTTTAAAGTAAATAGATTATGTCTTTAACTAATCCAAATAAGATTAAGTCGGTTAGGAAACACTTTTTATATTAGCAGATATTTGGTAATCTAACAATACTCTTGTACCATCAACTAAGCTATAGACTTGTGCTAGCTAGCTCAATACCTCGATCATGGGATCGGTAAACCGTACCCCTTACCATAAGGCTATTGGCGGTTCAAGTTTACACAGTAAATTATGGATTCGATCATACAATATGCTCTAACTTTACCCTCGAATATTAGCCCTGTTATTGTCCTTTAAAATGTATAAATAAAATCTAATAGAAGATAGGTTAGTAATTTGATACGTGTATGTCGAATTTAATTTTATCACTTTATGACTGTCGGAACAGCATCCAAACACTTTCTCAAGTGCACGTAACGAGCTGTCCATTAACCACATGCTGTTTGAGACTCGGTCCCGTATATAGGAAAATGAATGTCTTCCTTGTCACTTCAGTGCAACTAGTGAGAGGCCTTCCTGTTTCTGGTTATCGATATATAACTAGTTATTGTAACTGTAATTGCCTGTTAGATCTTTTAATTTGATAGTATATGGCTTTGCACGACGTTATTTTCCTTCTGTAACGATCAAGTTTAACGCTAAATTTTATCATTTTCCGAGGGTTATAGCCATCAACAAATTGACCATTGGTTACTGTTGTTTTATTTTTGTAAATCTATACATTTTTTTATTGTAATATGATAACAATAGCTATGAACGAGTATAAATTAATGAATACGTGTATTTGTTGTAACAATATTACGTATTAAGATTGAATGTGCATGGCTACAAAGGTAGGAAGACTGAAGAAAGTATGGATGGAATATGTGAAAGAGGATATACTTAAGAATTGAGTGGATTTAGTTATGGTGGCTGATAGATATTTATGGAAGAGTAGTACGTACTGTGCCGACCCTCCGTAGGGATAATGGCAAGTTGATGATGCTCTTGTAAGAAAATGTTAAACGAATTTCGACAATAAAGTTTATCGATATCGACATTTGACCCGAATTCATGAACGTCACTCGAGCAATTTGCAGCCGCATGCCGCGCGACGTGAAAGTTCAAGTTAACACAACATGCACTTGGATCATCTCGCGTACTCTTTACGTAATGCAATAAATAAGGAACTGACATTATCACGTAAACTGTTTATAATGGCGCTACTGTATAACTACGGCAAGCAAAAGTATTTTACCATTAATTAAAAAAAAAGTAGTAAATTGTTTCATGTCTTTTTATTGCTTGCAATTGTAAATCTAACAATTGCTTAGATTATCTTTTTCCATTATGTCGACGCAAGTTTACGAGTCGTTAGTCAGTTTATCTACAATCTTACGAACGTAGGCTATCACTCTCATAAAAAGATATAAATCATAACGCCCCTTAAGGTGGACTTTCACTTAGCTGAAAAAATGTGTTGAAAATCTATTTGAAGTAACATTCAGTAGCATTTACGTGCAGTTTTCATCGCCAATTGACGAACGAACATCAAAAAAATGTTACTTGACATTAAAATTTTCTCATACTATGAAAACATTTTGAAATTTTGCACTTTTCGTGTCGGAAGCCTAATTTTAGGTCCTTAAAAGAAAAGAATCATGAGGAACCGAATCGATGGGAGAGCTAATGCATAGGAAGAGTAAATATCATGTTTCTGTATGTACCCTTATGTGTAGATTAAAGGTACACAACGCGTTTGCAGTTTCAGATGACTATGGGAGCGGTCCTTTCGTTTTTTCGTCTAATTTAGGTCGCTGCTCTTTTCCCATCTTATGATATAAAAATTGTCTTATTCGGTCTATTGTTAAATCTAGTTTTGCAATAACTATCTGGGTTAATGTAATGTTATGTTTCCGGTTTGTTAGTTAAAATAACGATGAGAATTTTTATTTAGATCCCTTGTCTATGGAAGATTAAAAACAAAGATTTTTCTCTCAGACTATTTTGAGTCATCTGTTTTATTCTATTTTATGCAGCATTGTTTTGATATTTAAGAACGATGTAAGCCATTTGTTACGTTATGTACGGAAATGGTACCAATTTAAATTGGCGTTTGTTCTATGTAATTATGTGTTAGCTTTGTAGTAGTTACAATTTACTATTTGTATATAAAAGTAGCTGTTCATGACGACTTCGTCCTCGTGTAATTAAAAAAACATGTGAAAAATCCTGTGTGATAACGTAAATTTTATTGGTGAAAGAATTTTTATAATCGGCCCAGTAGTTTTTGAGTTATTTCAATACGTACAAAAATACTATACCTTTCTCTTTAAATCTATAATATCAAGTGTAGATATAGGCGTATATGAATTTTAACGTATTTTCACTTTGGACCAATTTAAAAAAATTATATCGTCGTTGTGAAATATTTTGGTTTCAAGGTAGAGCAATTTTTTTTAAAGTTGAAAGAATTTGCATATTTGACTTACTAGACAATGTTGTAGTGTTTTATTTTTACAGCAACATCTGTTTTTTCGCATTTCATTAGTTCTTTCGTAATTGTATCAGGAAATATTCGTGTTCTTATGTGCATAAGATAAGCGCGCTCCAATTTAATTGCGTAAAACGACTTATATCATGTTTTGGTAACTTTACGAAAAAGTTTAGTCAGTATCGAATTATGCTTTGAATCGGACGGATTTCTAGTGCAGTGTTCGTTTGACCTCTAATAATAATATGTGCTGTTATAAAATATTGTGAATTGAGTATAAATTTGTAGAGAGAGAGAGAGTTACTCCATAAATTAGAGAAGTGTACTAAAACTAATTTTAAAATTAAATTGCTGTATAGATTATTAGCTTTCGCCCGCGACTTTGTCTGCGTGATATTAAAGAATAATAAAAATGTGGTCTATATTACTCACTGATAACGTAGCTTTTTAATGGTGTAATTTTTTTTTAATCGGCCCAGTATTTTTTGACCCCATTCATTACAATCAAACAAACAAAGTTTTCCTTTTTATAATAGTATAGATTAAGTATCTTGGTTTGCATGTAATTATTATTGAGTGCAGTTGTGTTTTTACGTTCCTAATGTCTATGAAAATATTAACTAACCGATTCCTTCTATAATATGTTATTCAATACTTTACGATAAAATTACTAATAAATCGATTTCTTCTATAACATCTTATATAATACTTTATGTTACTATAAAATAGGATGTTTTTACCATGTGTTCTTACACAGAGTTTGTTAATAATTGATCTTATAAGAGGTAATTTTTTTACCTTATTATAATTCACTTAAAAATTAGAACAATATAAGCTATTTGTTATAATCTACATCTTTTTGTATTTAATTATAACGATCTTGAAGTATTTAGTGTAATATAGGGGTAAAGTATAAAAATCTCTTACTTTTCGCGAATATGTCGCAAGTTCAACTTTAATGCTTTGAAAGTTTTGGCAATAATGTGAATTTACACAACTTGAGAGTATATGGTTATTACTACACACTGCCAGTTCGTTTGCAAAATACACGCTTTAATGTTTTAATGCCGCTTTAATGATTGCTAATTTAAATTAGTAAGATATGTGTTTAAGTTTAGTGACGCTATATTTAGATTCTATTTAATTTCCGTTAACACTAAAAAGTATCTAATTTAAGTGTGTTTATTTTGAAACATAGTAATGAAAAATAAGTAAATCGCAAAAAAAATCATAAAAAGTAACAAACAGAAATTAAAAGTGAAAAGAAACAATTTGTATTTTCGAATTTCATAATGAAGTGGACAATATGTCTAATAATATTTCTCTATACAAAAACTGCCGCTGAAAATAAACTACTAACTTGGTTGAGGAAATTACCAAAATTGTTCAACCCTCGTCAGGACATTCCACAAGAGAAAAAAGATTTTGAAGGTATGAAGTGAAACGTTTACGTTTACCGTACTCCAGAGAATACGGTAAACGTAAACGTTTCGTCGTTTAGCTCAGAAGCTATTGCCAGTCAATCACTCAAACATTTAAAAAGGTATCTTAAAGCAGTAGTAATAAGATTCAATTTTGTTATTTCCAGGTTGTGGTATAGCGGTGAACAAGCAGACAGCTCAGCGAAGGATTGTTGGCGGAGATGACGCTGGCTTCGGCACGTTCCCCTGGCAGGCGTACATACGTATCGGATCGTCCAGGTTACTTTGACCTTTACATTAAGTTCACGAGCTTCTTGTATTTAGATAGCACGTAAAATATTAACATTGTTAGTGCCTGAAACTTTTATAGTCTGTGATAAAGAGTAGAGTGAATAGGTATTTATAAGTTTATGTGCCATCTTTTGAACACATTGTCATAAGTGTTTTTCAATTTTGATGGAAACCCAGAGGACTGTTGAAATGTTGAAACATGTCCTGGGAAATAGTTGTAAAATGCATTACCTTAACGAGAGTTTTTCCGCACTTATTTTGTAATATATGTTGTTACTGTAAATTCTCTGGTTTAATGCAATCTTGTAATAAGTTCATGCCTGGTTTACTATGTAGGCGGTTTACGGAGCAGATCTATAGATAGTGTCATTTTGATGTATATTTTACAACAAAACACGCAACTTAAATTAGTTCGTTATTTTGAAACGGTGAGGCATTGCAAGGGTTAAGTCTGTAGTTTGTTAGATGTTACTATACTTATTATACAAACACATAAACAAAAGCCTGTAGAAGCATCAATTTTAGTTAATACTGTGGTTATGGTATTTAAAATTATAAAATACTAACTTTAGCCCGGGACTCCGTCCGTGTACAGTTAAAAAATCAAAAGTGAGTAACCTATGTGTTGTTCCAGACTATCCTCTACATCTACATACATATATCAAATTTTATCGAAATCCGTTCAGTCGTTTGGATTACATACTTTAACAAACATCCATCCATCTAAACTTCCGCATTTATAATATTTGTAAGAAGTAACTAAGATTAATTTTTTCAATCGATACGTAAAGTACAAATAAGTCTAAATTATATTTTCAGAATTGTATAACATTTAACATGCAATGTATCCATATTTTTTTTCTGACAACACAAATAGGGTAAAAGATTTCAAGTTCAAAAAGTTTCAGGTACTCATAATTTTTATCTTACACAATATAAACTAAGTTTTAATTAAAATCATTATGGTGCTTATTCGAAGTACATTTTGCAAATAGATAAGTATATTTTCTCGTACAGTTATTCGAACTATAAAAGTAAAATAGGAATTTGTTTGATTTTCTTACTGCTTATAACATACTAAAAGTTAACATAATAGCCGTAACATTTTATACTAATAAATACACATATAAAAACTCCATATTTTACATACATACATGTATTGACGCATTTCATATTTGTGACTAATATTTAACTAAACTAATTGTTATTAATAAATTAATTTTCCAGATGCAACATGCTCATGTCGATATTCGAGCTTATTGGTTGGAAGCAGTGTTGGATAGAGAGGTAAATGTGCGAAAGAGATGCATGAATTAGGTAGAAAACCCTTGACATAGAGTAGACATGGCTATACGCTAAAACAAAACCCTGTATAATTTGTATTTTATGTAAAATTCCTTTGGTTTTGGCTTTTTATCGAATGTAGAATATTCTGCTAATTTGACCTTAAATCTTTTGTTACTTGGAATGCTTTTTCTTTTAAAGCTTACGCAAGCTATTATGTATTTACCAAAATTTAGCTAGCGTATAACTGGTCCTAAGAAGTAAACACGAACCTTTTTCGCACATTCCTCTTCGTATTATTATTTTATTATTTACTACTATAGAGCATGCTATAGGGTTTAATTCTGAAATTTAATAATGTGTTTTATTTAGCTGTAAAGTTTTAATAATATGGTAATGTTGGGTGAAGGGATATAGGTGAAACAAAACTAGTCAATAATTAACTAGGCTTATTTATTCTTTATTTCAAACAGGGTTTGACACAGAATTTAACAAGGTAAGTATAAAAATGTATAGGTTCTAAATTAAATGCGATATCTTCATCTTTTACTGCTTATTTATCGTATTAATTTTAAACTTTAAATAAAAGGATAACAGGTTTTGTACTTTTAACGCAATATTTATAAAAGCGTCAAAAAAAGAATGTTGACAAGTATACAATTACACGGTGTACGCAATGAGAAATTACTTAATTGCTTTTATATAACTAGTATGGCGAAATCGAGCCTTATTTTAATTTATACTATTGTTCTGTAAGAGTATAACATTGTTCTGTTAGTTTTTATTATGTTGAAATAATTTGACGCGACTGTCAGCAGTACGTTGAACTACAAATTATAGACAAAAAAGTTCACATTTTTATACCATCCTATTTAAACCTTAAATTAAAAATGATAAAAAGTGCGTGATAATTTAAATTGTATCTTAAATATCACTACCTCAGTGGGAAATATTAGTATGTTAAGAATTTGTTTACCTAAATTCCAGATGTGGGGGCTCGTTGATCTCTCGTCGCCATGTCGTGACCGCTGGCCACTGCGTTGCGCGCGCGCAGCCGCGTCACGTCAGAGTGACCCTTGGAGACTACGTCATCAACTCCGCGGCGGAGCCTCTACCAGCGTACACGTTCGGAGTACGAACGATCAAAGTGCATCCCCTATTCAAGTTCACGCCTCAAGCCGATCGATTTGACGTCGCTGTTCTGACGCTCGATCGTAACGTGCATTACATGCCTCACATAGGTCAGTTATTTCATAATTTATTATTACCAAAAATCTACTAACTTACCCCTGTCTGATCTATGAGCTCATGGCAGTACGATGGCAGAACATTGAGACGGAATAATACGACAATTTAATATAGGTATTGTTTGAACAACCACTTACAATCACAATATTGTGCTGTTCTAATGTTTAGGCAAGAAAGGCCTTACTGTGATACCTTGCATTATATAATGACCAGTATCCCCTGACGTTTGATTTTAAGATCATATTTTAAATAATACAGTCTAAAATTTTTATTGGTAAACATTTCCAGCGCCAATCTGCTTGCCGGAGCGAGGGTCAGACTTCCTGGGGCAGTACGGCTGGGCGGCAGGCTGGGGCGCACTGAGCCCTGGCTCGCGGCTGCGCCCACGCACCCTGCAGGCAGTCGACGTGCCAGTTCTAGATAATAGAGTATGCGAACGGTGGCATCGAGCTAATGGTAAATAATTACTTTTGTTATTACGAGTAAAATAATAAAAGGGTAAATTCTTGTTAAAGACCAATTTAAATTGGAACTAACTTTCGTAACAGCTGATTTAATTGGCCTTAAAAAATTAGTGAAAATTAAATCCTGTTTAGCATTACAAGACAGATTACAACGTAATATTTTTAAAAATAATTATGTTTAATGCTTATTACATTACACAAAAAAACGTTCTTTCCACCGCTCTGCTTTTTTTTGGTTTCAAGGGGGGGTGGATCTTAAAAGATATCCTTAAAAGATGCCTTCTGGCGGAATACTGGGTTATGTGGGGTTTAAATCTCTAAAACCCCTTGGCGACAGGCCTCTAGTGTCATAACGGAGGGTTCCGGGATCTTCGTGAAACAAGCCGGACCACGAGCGCTTTACCTTAGTGCGTTAACCTTCATTTGTTTTTATAACTGTATTCCAGGTATCAATGTAGTGATATACCCTGAGATGCTGTGCGCGGGCTACCGGGGCGGGGGGAAAGACAGCTGTCAAGGCGATAGTGGTGGGCCTTTGATGCTGGAGAGGACTGGGCGCTGGTACCTCATCGGCGTGGTGTCCGCGGGCTACTCGTGTGCTAGCCGCGGCCAGCCCGGGATCTATCATCGAGTCGCACATACGGTGGACTGGATATCACATGCGACAACACTATCATAGCGATAGTTACATGTGTCATGTGTGAAATGAGATTAAAAACGCCAGTGGTAGTGAAGTGTTTGTGTCGAGAATGTTTGTTGATGATACAGAGAATTTTAAGGCTTAGATTACGATGCCTACTTCATTAATGTTACCACCAAAAAAGCATATTTTTAAGTGGACAGATTGTAATAATCATTATTAATAACCAAATGTAGTTACTGGCCAGAAATACTGACGTGTGTCATATGAATCAGTTGAATTTGGAATAAAAATAACTTATGAGATTGCATAACAAAAGATATTTAAAAAAGTATTGGTGTTAATTTTTAAATTTCATAATATTCTAGGATATGTACCTAATTATAATTTCTATAGACAGAAATGTAAGCTTGAAACACTCATAGACTAGATATAGTCCTTAAAAATATTGTGATAAATCGTAAACCGGCCGTAATTGCAATAATTCTAAAGCTATTTACTGTCTATAACATTTTGTAAATAAAAGAAAGCAGTAAATAACTATAAATGTAAATAAAAATCAACTACAAATTACATTTTTCATATTGACGTCAATAGTTAATACTTAAATGTAAATAGTATTCATCTATATTTTGTCGGTAACGCTTGTCATAAATTATTTTCAAAAGCTTCGTTATTTATTATTGTGACGCTAAACTTAAAGCTCTTTTGTTAATATTTTTTTATCCTTTTTAAACTATTTAAGCCTTAAACCTAAGTGACTTTAAATAATATTTAATAAGTTAATAAACTGTATTTATTGTTAATTTAAACTTTTGTTTTATTAATTTTACATTTTTTTCGCATGTATTTACTTCTCTGGCGCAAAGGCAAAGTAAATCTTGAACCAGAAAAACAAAAGGTGATCCCAGAATAAAATCAGTCATGAATTTGGATAGAGAAAATAAAGAGACTCCAAATTTAATTTCAGTCATTTATTTGCATTTTAAATATCAAGATAAAATAGTGCGCGTTATCAGGTTACCAACCGAGTGGTATATTATGTTCTTTGACGAGTCTGACCAAATAATCTTCCAATGGCCGATAATACCGCAAGAGGGCAGCAGCTGAGATGTCGTGTTCGTTAAATGTTTCCTGTAATATTTCCCTCCAGTGATGGGAATTACCAAGTGACATGAATTTTCTGAAAATGCAACGACCTAGATTAATTTAATTGGGAAATTTAGCGGTATTCATAGGTAACTCACGTATGGATTTCTGGGTAATAAGTTGCGAATATGGAAGTAACATTAAATAAATTCAAAATCTTACTTCAACAATTTTCCGCTCGCTTTAGATCCATAAATGTCACATCTGTTCATTGGTATTGATTTCGGTAACTCCCTGGCATCTCCGTGTTTTCCAAAGACAGCGACTTTACACAGATGTTCAAATACTTGATGTTGGAAGAAACTGGCCAAAAAATATCTAAAAGAAAAAACTATCGTTATACACCGTGATACTTCTTTGGTCTAGTTATATGTATTTTAACGTCTGTTGTTTCTAACTGTGAGTGTCCACTTTGGCATATTGGCATCCCCCTCATTCCTTGTGAAATAAACAGAGATAACCAGAGTTTTATGCAACATAATTAAAAGTAAAATACATTTGATAATTACGTTCATTTTACCTGATGTAAGGAGTATTATCAGCAACATGATATATGGCGCCTATATCAAAGAAATCTTCACTTCTCTCTTCGGGTGGCGATATTCCTTGGAGTTCCAGTGACATTGCCCAAAATTCCTTGTTCATAGATGCTTCATCTATTCCATTTTCGAAATATTTCCAACGGTATTTATCAATAAGCAAAGAAAACGGTATTTGAGGTAGTTTGTTTAGGGCACGTTTCAATAACAATATTTCATCAGTCGTTGCATTTGAAAATTGTATTGTTTCACTTTTGTTAGTAACTATAGAGGAACTGAATTCTTTTTCTTTATTAGATGCATTAGATACTGCTTGTGAATGATCTTTAAAATTTGTATATGCAGAATACAAAGTGGAATCATTAATAAGACTAAGTCTGTTCAAATGCTGCGGAGTTGTAACGCCGATTGTAATTGCGTCTCCAATACTTTCATGGAAAGCTGAATTAGCTTGCTGTAAATAAAATGGTCAGTTAATATTTAATCATTTCAGGTTTTGGTTTGAAAATGTAATAATTAATTCTAAATCTATTCTACTTACTCTAAATATACCAGGCTGGTTAACATATGCCATATAATATTGAATGTGACCCATTTCATGATGTAATACAACAAAATCTTTAAAGGAAACACCTGAACAATATAATAATCTGTAAATTTTAAATTATTAATCAACAATGAAAAGATTAAATTATGATCAGTACTAAAGTTATAGCTCAATGTCAAACCTGTAGTCGTCATCTTTGAACATGTTCGCCGCAGTTCCATGGCAACGTATTTTATTATCATCTGCCATAAAAATTGATTTGCGCCAAAAAGCATCTGTCATAGGTGGTAAACCTAAAGAGAGATAGAAGTCCTCGGTTCTTTTAATCTAAAAAATAAGAGCTTCTTCGTTAAAGTTTGTAAACCCTTCTCAACAATAGTTACAAGATCCTTTGTATTTTTTTTATTTATTTATTTTCCTCTCTAAAATGCATACTTACCATATGTTTAACATCCCATTTCTTATTCTTCATGCTGTCATCTAAATTAATAGAGTTAGGTATAATTAGATCTGATAACGATTCCCAATTTTGAAGCCAGAGATTTCCTGTATAAATGTTATTGTTAGTGGACATAGACTGTAAAACTTTACGACTCAATGATTTCAATTAAATACTGTACCAAGTAAATGCGCAGGAATCGGTCCTCGTGCTGGTATGATATCACCGTGCTTTTTTCGAAGAAAGTACCGAACTACGCCATGAAGAAGCGTATACAATGGTTTCACAGATTGATAGAGTTGTTGACAGTAGCCTCTTAGATCTGAGACCTCGAGTTCTTCACGCCAAGATACACCGATGTCTTGGTAACCTAAAACATGAAGTAACATGAAGAAAGGTTAAACAAAACACTGTCTACAAATAACTAAACAGAGTTTTCTTGATTTTTACCATTTCTTCGAGCGGCTCTGTTTTCTATATTCACAGCTGTTTTAAAATATTCCTTTATCAAAGGTCCAGTCTTCTGTCTCCACATTTTCCAAATCCATTTCAACACTTTTTCGTCGTTCGAATTTTCTATCAGTTCCTCTAAATCCTTTTGTTTAAGACACAGAGCTTCTTCTTTCTCAGTTCTTTGTAGTATATTGTCTTTATTCACGTTTTCTTTGTCGTATTTTAATAAATATTCTTTGATTCTACGTTCCTTTGCTACATTAGTTGTTGCAGATTTTTCATGAGATGTTTTCTTGGGTATACAAACTTGAGCATTGTAGTATATTGACAGCATTTTTTCATTTAATTTGTTCAGGAAGCTACGTCAGGGAAAACACAAGTAATTAATTGGGTAGCATTCATTAAACACAATTTTAAGTACTAGGTAAAAATATTATAGATCCCGAAACCTTAGAGGTCACTTGAGGATGGCTACCGAGCAACTTTTAGTGGGTCAAATTCCACATAACCCTGACTTCCTCCCAGATGGCAGGGTATCTTTAGAAGATTTCCCCACTACAAAAACAAAAAGGTAGAAATATACTATATCAAAGAACGAAAAACTTTTTATTAATGTATTACCTTGCTTCTTCCAGATTGTAAGTTGGTCCTCTGCAAAAAAGAAACGATTGCCTCTGCTGTGTTCCATTGGTTAAAATATTTTTAATTGCAGTCAATTTATTGCAAGTCTTTCTTTGCCATGTAATTCTTCTTTTCAAATACAAAAGAGATCTTTCTTGTAATCCTGGAGTTGGGTTAACGGAAGAATTCCATTCTATGTCAGCAGCAATCGCGTTAAATTTTACTACATCGTTGTTGATTTCCTCGAATAGATTATACACGATGTGAACGCAGTTGCATACTTTTAATAAGTATAAAATGAATATGGCTAATTTTATTTTCATTTTGCAAGCTAAACTGCAAGAACGGAAAATGTATTAGGGTAACTTTTTATCTCTCAACTTTTAAATTTTCTGAAAAAACTGATATTTACACACATGTATCTTATTTCTTTATTGTGTGTTTTTCAAAATATAACAAGATTTGTATGAAAATAAAATAAAACGTGTTATTTCAAAAACAGAGCACCACCGACTGCGGAATCCGATGACTCAAGCAACCAGTGGTCAAGGCTGCAGAGACTGGAACCTCCTCACAATGCGTGCTTTTTCTAAAATAACTGCCTTCTTAATCGGGCCCTTCATCCAATTGTATTGCTAGAGCGTCTTCAGATGATCATATTTACGCCATTCTTATAATAATTATTCGGCTGATGTAAATAATATTGGTGTAAATAGCATAGATTTAAGCTTGAAGCTTTCAAAGCTTAACAAATAATTTGACCCACTCTTTCGCGTACAATTTATCGATGTTATCATTTATCAACGCGGTGTCGAGTGTCAGTGATTTCATATCCTGATGGCTTTCATTAAAACACTTAGTCGGCAAGTGTTTTATCGCATAACTTGATATTACACTCAATTTTCCAGATTATATTTGGCTTAACACATTGATTTCGGCAACTTGTAACAGTACACGTAAAGTGGTCATTGGAATTTGCCGAAATCGACAAGCTTGCTATCAAAAGCTAAATTGCACTCACAGTGGTAGGTATACATAGGTTTAGTACAAGACTGTGTCAGGGTCTGTCTTAGCGCTGAAAGAAAGATTCTGAGTGCGAAAAGCACAGGACACAATAAAAGCCAATTATGATAAATTTTTTTGTTCCGTTGTCCATTTCTAGAGTTAACGTTAGCAAAAGATTATTATGTTTAAATTTAACGATTTATGAAAAACGAGCTTTTGCCCGCGACTTCGTCCGCGTGGTATTAGAAAACATACAAAGTATATAAATTACAAAAAGTTACGTTTCCCTCGGGAACCGGACATTTCTCGGGGATGAAGCTTATCCCATGTGTAGTCCAGACTTTGTTTTATATCTGTGCCAAATTTCAATAAGATATGTTGAACCGTTGCAGAATGATCGAGGAAAAATTTAAAAACTAAATTAATTAATCCCAGGGGAACTGTAACTATTCCCGGCATAAAAAGTAGCCTATGTGTTCTTCCAGACTATGATCTAAACCTGTGCTAAATTTCATAGAGATCCGTTCAGCCTTTTAGGCTACAAACGCTAACAAACATCCATCCATCCATCCATCCATCTAAACTTTCGCATTTATAATATTAGTAAGATTAGTAAGATGTAAAGATTTCATAATGTAACTAGTGATACTTCATCAAAACCTAAATTGTTATAAGCACAACAAAGCGCATACAAAGTATTAGAACAATTTCCCTACATTAAAATCATTAAAAATGTTAAATATATGTATCCGTAAAATAAATCTGCACATTTTACAACCAAAATAAACAAAATAAATTTCGTTATAAAATTACAATTAACTATTATTTTTATTTCAACTCACCCATTCCAGAATTAAAGAAACATTTTAAATCAAATACACTTGAAAATAAAGAAAAGATAAATTTGAAAAGTCTTTCCTAAGTTAAAAGCTGGCGACCTGTACGATCTAGGTGTCGTTTGGAACTGTACTGAAATCAGAATTCACAGGCTGTGATCTATAAGTGAGCGATTTTATTCGGAACCTTTAAGCTTGTGCGCCAGTGCGTAGGCTTTACTATGCTTTATAAGTCTCTTGGGATTCTTTGTATGTCATTTAAATGCCACACTTTCAAACATGCGAAGAACCACCACAAGTATAACGATATCTTCTAAATTAGTAATAGCAATAGTGACTACATACTTTATATGTATGAGATGTGCTTGTATTAATTTTTACACAAAGAAAAAAATAAAAATATTGTTATCATTAATTGTTTTAAATGGCTACTTTCTCCTAATTTTTTTGCAATTCTCTCTATCTTATCAATATTTTAAATGCGAGAGAGATTGTGGCCTAAACGGCTGCGCGTAAGACTAATTACTTCTAGTCATACCTATGTTATTATGTTTCTGTTTATTTTTTTAGCCTTTCATGTTTATTTTTTAATTAAGTTGCGAAGCTTTAGGTGTCGCACCTCCCTAAAGGTAACAAATAAGCGTAGTAAATCCTCCCCGAGGGTAGCGAGACAATAGCAGTCCATCCTAATTGAAACAGCAATAAAGCAGTGTCAGACCTTGGTTTCACAATTCTTTATACATTTTTATTACGTCTTTATTTTGGTACAAATTAATTTACACAAGATTCGGATCTATTTTCTTTGTTGCGGAAATGTAGTAGAATATGATCAAAATTTGATATTAACGGCTTCGAAAAACTACTAAAAGACTAAAGTAATTTACTTTTAGTAATTAAAAGTACGTACAGCTTTCTGGCATGTTTGCATATTTGTAATCTGAATATTATCTGGTAATTAAAAAAATTGTTCTATAAATCTGACAAGAAATGTACACTAAATAACAGTATCATATTCGTATCCTAAAACACGAATAAAATGCGCGGAAGCTACATATAAAAATAACTTTGAAATACTTTTGATATTGAACGCAGCGAAGCGGGTAATTCCTTCATGCGTAAAGTTAAGTTGAATTTTTATATATGAAGTTATTTAGAATTTTATATTTTCTGTTCCGTATTTGTTATATGAACTATCTATAATGTTATAAGGAATACTTGTTTAAAAACTGCTTAGTTCCATCGCACTTGATTCTTTGATTTCCTTTTGATTTGTAAAACATTTTTTAAAATCAGATCCCATTAACAGTTAAGGCATGGAAGCTATAGTTAATGTGATAACGGTAAAAAGGCGAGATTTGTGTATTAAGACGATTTCAAAGATATGAGAGATTGAAGGATTTAGGAAAATGTGAGAAAAGTGCAATCGCAAAGTGATACATTCATAAAATTTTAGCGAAATTAAGATCGTTTTACGTGTATCTTTTCTGTATTTCTATCCATTTCATGGAAATGTAGTAATTTTGCTGTGGAATAAAAAAAAATCATTTTCAGATTCCGAGAAGCGTTATTGTGATGTTACTGGAAAAAATAATGCGTTGAACAGACTATCGAAACAATTTTTGACAATGACAGTGACAAGTGCCAAAACGACAGCGAAATTTCTGTAATTTGGAAAATAGATGTTGCTAAAACCGATAAGGTTTTCGATTTAAATTGTTTAACTTGCGGGATTGGTTACATAACTAGAAATTGTATAGCAATGTTAAGTTAGTAAATATACTAGAAAAGATATAATTTCTTTACATAATGAGTAACATTTACATTCAAGAACCTCCTGCACTTGGAAAGGTAGATTTATTATAATAATTCCCACGAATTATAGTCAGTTAATCGATGAAAGCTATTTATTTAGCAACAAAATCTTCTTTAGCTATGTTTAATACTTTTGTATGTTTATAGTTTTCGTTTAAATTGTCATTATACAATGCTTTAACTAGATGTTAAAATTTTAGGTTCTTCTAAAGACGTCAGTCGGTGAAATAGATGTTGAGTTATGGACAAAAGAAGCACCGAAGGCTTGTCGAAATTTCATACAGTTATGTATGGAAGGATATTATAATGGTAATATATTTTGAAGTAATCTTTGTAACTGTCTAAGAAAAGGTTGTGGTTTGTGATGTAGACCAAAAAAAAAGTAATTAAACTGGTTAACAAAGATGGTGTTTCGTGAGGAGATATATACAATTCTTACGTGTGATTTAATAATTTCTTTATTAAATCATTTTTCAGGAACTATATTCCATAGAGTAGTGCCTGGGTTCATAGTGCAAGGTGGTGATCCCAATGGAGATGGCACTGGAGGTGAATCTATTTATGGAGAACCTTTTAAGGTAAACATAAAACTGGGTACCAAGTTTATTATTTTCTGTTATTATAATATTAACATTTTTAAAGTCAAATTATAACATATTACAGGATGAATTTCACTCTCGTCTTCGTTTTAATCGCCGAGGCCTGGTTGCTATGGCCAATGCAGGGAAAGATGACAATGGTTCACAATTCTTCTTCACTCTCGGTTCTACACCAGAGTTACAAAACAAGCATACAATATTTGGAAAAGTTACAGGTAAAATATAACCAGAAAGTGTGAAGAATGAACGTGGATCTCTACAAAAGAAGAGGAAGACCGATGAAAGTATGTATGGTTTGTGTGAAAGAGGATATGCTTAAGAAAGGAGTGGATTAAGATATGACGGCTGATAGAGATGTATGGAAGAGCAGCACATACTATGCCAACCCTCCAAAAGGGATAAGGACATGTTGATAATGATGACAGGTAAAATATAATTAAAAAGATATATACATAACAGATAATGTTACAAGAATGCATTGTAAATACTCATGAATATGTCAATTGGTATGTATTGTGTTTAGTTTTATGTTGATATTTTTATATTATAAGGTGACAAATGTGCAATTGCCTGATTGACAAGGCAAAGTGACCGCAGCCCAAAAACGTTTGCTAGTGTTAATGCATTGTCTATCTTTAATGGATGGAGGAAGAGATGGTCTTAAACTGAGTATTTACCCTTGCTATGTGTCTTTTCCACTATCAATTCTACTTTCCTTTCCTATCCTTTCCTTATAACAGAAAGGTGGAAAGGGAAAGGGATTGAAATTAGATTCAGTGGCATTTATATTTCCAATCCGGTAATAATAACGAAGTTACGGCTCGTGCTAAGGCTCCTGAGGGAGCCCTCGAGCTTGGTTACTCAAAAACGAGGTTTAGGCTAAGCGCCATCTGCGCTCAGCCACCTTAAGCCCAGTGAATCTATAAATGCCTCTCTCAAACAGTTGCCATTCAGACACAAAAAAATGGCATTTATATATATTTCCAATTAAGAATATAGTTGTCTCATATCCTTCAATTAATATCTAATAAATATTATTCTATTTAATTATAGGTGAGACAATATACAACA